ATCATGAGCACTTTTCAATAAAACATCACTGATTTCAGCTGCTGCGAGCACAGAGATGGGTTGATATTTAGCGAGGCAGGTTGCTTCAAGTTAGAAAAGCTGTCAAAATGCAAGATAGCTCAGTGTGGCTCTAATAGTGCAGTTATTACTCTTTTTAAGCTAAAAGGCAAACTTTTTTTATATGCCTAATCCCTGAGGATATTTGCCCAGGCCAGCCTGAAAGCAGCCTTACCTGCCTACCTCTTGGGGTCAGGTCTGCTCACGTCACATTTAAAGATGCCATCATGCATAACCTGGAAAAACCCAAATACTGTATCACCTCACTGGCATCTGATGGTAAGTGAAGGAAGGATCTTACTGCAGGGAAGTTTACAGCATGAAAAGGGAGGGTTTGGTAACATTTGGCCTGCATTTTTTCATTACCCCCTTCCTCCCCCCCGAGGCGTATTGGCTGGAAGTTTGCAGCCAGTATTTCCGATGCCATGCACAATAAGGGCACATGGAATTTAAAAGATTGCTGCCTTGGCACGAGTGGAAAACCACATTGCTGAAGAGCATCTCTGAACACTCACACCAAATACTGCATCCACATCCTGACAGCTTGCAGGAAGAGCTCAGCTCCATGCTGTGTGGCATCCAAGGCAACAGCAGTGCAAGCTGGCAGGTAGGGATCAAGTTATTCATGCAGCCTGATGTGGCCTGAAAAAGCCAGTATGAAAAAGTCATCTTCACAGCTTCTGCTTAAAAAGCAGATGCATGGGATGTGGAAAGTGCCAGGACATGGAGCGTGGCCCTGCCATGGACCATCTCTGGCAAGGTGGCAGTGATGATGCCTGGCTTCCTTCCTACTATGTCTGATCAGCTGTACCTCCTTGCTGGCTCTTCCTGCTCCTGCTACATGGTCTGATTTGTACACTTACACCTTGACACCTAGGCAGAGTCTTTGTATATTCATCCCTGGCAGTTACAAGATAAATAACAGCTAGATCATGAGCCCAAAAGCTTCTCTGCTTTCTTCCCCACACACCATCTGCCTTCAGAAGAGGCAGAGCATCTCCCTTGAGATCTGGCTTCCTGGATGAATCTGAACGGCACCTCTTCAGTACTTCCTTTGAATCGAGGTAGTACATAATGCAGAGCAAATTACTGCTTCTGATAACTCAGGTTGCAGAGAAATGTCAGGTAAAGTCTTCAAGGCAAACTGCAATGAAAGTGAGACTTTTATGTTCTTCCAAGATTTTTTGTTTTTCTCTAAGGCTGCCCTGGTTTTAATTCCCCTTCCTTTAGGAAATATGAGAGCTATGATCTCAAAAGATGTTGCACATGTGCACACAAGAAAAAGTACTCCAAAAGATAAAAGTGCAACCAAACACTTCCCTTCCTATTTTAATACTGCTTCAGGCAGGAATGGAAAGAGAGTCTATTATTTCTATGCACAGTCAGAAGCATACTGTGGCATAGGCTGCTGGCAAAAATGAACTATCTATGCAAGAAAAGCTAATTAAAGAAAGGTTTTATGAGATTCATATTCAAAACTATGTTGAAAAAGTTTCATTTTAAATTGAGGTTTCTCATGTCCTACTTGCATGCACTGCCAGCGTAATGGCATACCTGATTGGAGATACAATGCAGTGACTTCTCAGGCACCACTCAGGGAGGGGATGTGCCGTACTGGACCAGATGATTAGCCCACATCTCCATCTAAACTGAGGCAAGCATGCACTGGTGAGGACTGCAAATTCCTGCCAGACAGCTTGCCGTTGTGCAACTCCGCAGGGTTGGTGGGACAAATCCAGACCATGCAGCAATGCGGCTGTCCCAGGCAGAAGACACAAGGACATTTTAAACAGGCAGAAGCTGCAAGTAAGATCATGTAGGTGGCTGGGTAATGGGATGAACAGGAGCAGAACTGGTCCTTTCTGTTCCCTGCTCCCCAGCCCACATTTTGAAGTCTCACCATGGTGAGGAAAAGCAAATGGTGTGTCAGAGGTCCAGCTGAGCGCTGAGAACAAATCTGGAGGGCCACACTCTTTGGATTCCCAGATTTCCATGAACATTTGCCATTAACTTGGCTGTATTCTGTAGATGTCTGATTCTAGCAGTCCATACATGGAAATCAAAGACAGAAGCCACAACAAAGCCTCGCAGACATGCTCTGCAGGTAAGGTAAGTTAATTCTATATGATAGACAGTACACCACTTTAAAGGAATCCTGTCCCACTCTGGTGTTGTAGAAGCCATTATCACTGAAATCTCATGTCTTACCAGCCCAGAGTAACAGTTTGGTATAAGCTAATGCTCCCAAATGTAAAAAACTGATAACTAATTAGATACAGGAGAGTTGAATAATTATATCTTTAATGATCAGGTAGATCAGATAAAAGATCAGAAGCCCATCTGAAGGCTAAACCTGACTCATTATTACTTTCAAGTCACACATAGTTCATGACACTTAAAAGTAAATATAATCATGAGGTTATTTATTTGTAATTGCCAATGATGTCCTGCCTGCTCTCGTCGGGGCAAAGAGGGAGGAGCTGTAACCCCTGTGTGAGCACTAGTGCTTCTTATAGGAGCCAAACCAGCCCATTTATGCCTTTATACCATAACATGGAACCAAGCTTCAACCTTGTTTTTCGTTTACACAGAATACATTGCACTGTGTCTGCTGCTCACACAGAATCATAGAATGGTTAGGGTTGGAAAGGACCTTAAGATCATCAAGTTCCAACCCCCCTGCCATGGGCAGGGACACCTTGCTCTAAACCATATCACCCAAGGCCTCGTCCAACCTGACCTTGAACACTGCCAGGGATGGAGCATTCACGACCTCCCTGGGCAACCCATTCCAGTGCCTCACCACCCTAACAGGAAAGAATTTCCTCCTTATATCCAATCTAAACTTCCCCTGTTTATGTTTTAGCCCATTACCCCTTGTCCTATCACTACATGGATATGATATTTGGAGATGCTCATTAAGGGGTATAATTAAGGCATGTTATATGCTTTAAGTAATAGCAGAACTTAAGTACATGGCAATTATTTGCATTCCTTGGCAATGGTGAGTGCTGCAGGACATTCTGGTCCAGCTAAGGCAGGGTCTCCTTGTTTTGAGGTTTTTTTTTTTGGTTTGGGGTTCTTTTTTAGGTTTTAAAATGGGGACTAGGTGGTGTCACACACAAAAGTCAAAGAAATTCTAGGTCAGCACAACAGATCCTGGGGTGAAACTGTAAGCAGAAGACAGCACAGGGTACCTAACAAAGCACTGCCAGAGAACATGAATTAACATGGGATAATTTTCCTGCTTTTATCAGGACATTGTTAGGAAGTTAGGTCTCTGACAAAGCCACACACCACAAAGCTCCTCTCCCACTGCTGCACCAATGTGGTTGGCTGAAAGCAAAATCGGCACAAAAAGGTGACAGCATTTGAAACGTAGACTAAAACAGAATGGATGGCAAGCACAGCCCAAAGCAAAAACAAATCCCCAAAGGAAAACATAAAAACAAATATCAAAGACAAATGGGAATTTAAAGCAAACGAACAAACAAACACAAACAGAAAATGCCTTAAAGGGAGAATCTTGGAATAGTTACAAAATAATCAGACAAGAGAAAGAAGGATCAGTAGGGACAAATATGCAATAAGGAAGGGCTAAGCTGCGTAATGCTGCTCGCTCAATCTGCAGGTGCCTTCGGATGTTCCCTCTTACTCCCATCTATCTACAAGTTGTGAAATAGCTGGTTTGCTGAGAGTGGATAAGCTGAGGCTGGTCATGGTGCCTCTGGTATCACACTAGCCCAGGGAAGAGAAATGACATTCGTTTTACTCTAATGGTGGATCCACTGGCATGTCAGAAGAGTGCATGAAGTGAACTGATGGAATAAAGTAGAGCCAATGCTAGTGAAGAAATAGAGAACTACTAAGAGTGACTGCTGCCAAAGCCCCACTAGTGACGTATGTTAAAAGTTATGTCAGGCCAGTGCCTAGATGAGCTGTGGAATTTAACGAACTGATCAGATTCCGAATCTGGACTGCTATAGTCTTCATAGACACAGGAAATTAATTCACTTAAAACTACGGGATAGTTTGAAGATTTATTACAGCAGCCCACAATATCAGTAATGATCCATTAGCTTGATTCTAATATTTATAACAGTAATGTACTTAAGGTTATCCTTCCCTGATTTGGGACACTGTCAGTGATCTTGCCTTCCATAAACTGGTTTACTTGGTTAATGATGCAGGTCCTATGGTCATACGTAGCAATCACACAGAAGTGGGAAGCACTACGTATTTCTTGGGGGTGATCATGGCAGTATAGTTAACAAGAGCTCAATTAAAAACAAATTACTTGATTACTAGAAGACACAGTAAATATGAGCATCCCTTTGTCCTCTTTTATTTATTTATTTTATTTGTGTGTGTAGTCTCCCATGAATAAGAAATATTTCCATCTTGGAAAAAGCTACTGCTTAAGAACAGATACAAATCTTATGATACGGATGGCCTGATGTAGCTGAGGTTAAACCATAACAGTTTGAAATAAGACAGCTACCAATGGTGTGGGCTGCTGTTCCCTCCATTATGCTTTGTTAAGCTACAATAACAAACTATACCCTTCATACCTCTAGACAAACAAAATACTGTGATAAACAGAACCTTGAGTAAACTGTCACACAGCATCCCTACTTGCAGTTAAATTCATATACCCAAGAGGTATACGTACGTATTCTTTCTTTGAGCTCATGCTTATTATTTAGTTGTTTGGTGGTTGTTTTCTCCTAATCTTCCTTTCTTGGTCACCTGCCAAAAAGTAGCATTGTAGAGGGAGTGGAAGCATGGCTATGGGATGCCTGCCAGATCATCTGTCCCAAACCGTTGTCCATACTGGGCCAACTTTTGTCTTGTGTTTGGTAATAATTTCAGGTGTGCAAAAGTTAGCATCCTTTTGCTGATCACTAGGGTTAAGTGTTTTAAAAAAGACTCTAGAGCCATGGTAAAATGACCACAGTGTACTTTATTTAATGATTTTGGTACCTTGTGTTGCAATAAAATAAAAAAAATCTACAAAATCCAAATATATAAAATTTTCAAGTTTTCCTTTTAAGTTTTACAAGAAAAATCAAGTTGTAACCAAGGAAATTTGTTAGTATGAAGCACTACTTTCAACTTCATTTCATCACAAATTGCAACTTACTTAACAGACCAAAAGAACTATGGTACTGCAGTACATCAAATACTTCACACACTGTGTTCTTTACTATAGCACATGTAACCTCTGCCACGGGGGACAGTGGTCTCTAGCCAATAAAGACACTCTTCACAATCTGAACTCTAAAGGAATGTTTGTATACATGGATTCAGAATATATATATTTACACGAAGATTTCTTTCTTTTTTTTTAATAACTATTTTGATTCTTCATTTCAAATAAAATACCAAATACATTTTTACAATGTTTACAAGTCAAAGCACAAGTTCTGCAATGATTATCATTCACCTCAAGTCACTGTGCTTGTACTGGGGGGATATCTACACTGTTCCATAAACACAAATACGATCCTTCGTCACTTCATTTCTGCAAAGGTGACTAAGGAGTATAAGCACAGTAACAATTATTTTAGCACAATCAGTGTATAATGCAACAGTTTTCAACAGAGAACTGAGAAACTATTGGTCCATTCTGTTCAATTTGCTGTTTATCTGCCAACTGTTACGTTACTCTCTGCCACATAAATTGTGTACAAGAAAAGAGTCAAATAACACAACTTGAATAGGAAAGAGCACACATTTTTTAAGGCAAATTAATAAGCAGCTTATGGTGTTTTTTGTTAAACTATACTCCAACAGAACCTAAAAATAAAATGTATGTTCTGCAGCTGTCAATAAGTATATGTTGTTAAATTGATCTCCTCTATAAATTGATCAACATGGCTTTGAACCTGGTTATTCAAAATGGAAAAAACTCCCCCCAAATCCCCGAATATAGAAAGTGCATGACTTCATACGCGCCAAAACAAAACAAAAGGCAGCTGAGGTAGTTAGATGTAAAATGCATTTATGAAAAATAATTGAACAAACTAAACCCAGGACAGATACAGTAAAAGATCAACACATTTGGAATTAGCTTTGTATCATGCAACAACTTAAAGCAGGAAAGTTTATGTTTTCTGAGAAGAAAATGGGTTTGGTAATAATAACATAGCAATGAACACAGAATATACTGTTGGAATTTGAATTTCAAGTATTTGAGTCTATTTGCATGTGCATTTTTTTCAGGCTTTTTTGATAGTGTTAGGAAGTAATTTACTTTTTATCAGGCATCATATAAGACCTGGTTGACCTGTGGGACTGCAGTTCCTCGAAGGCAGAAATACACTGTGAGTGCCTGAAGATGGGCTACCATCTTGGGTGGGCTTTCTACACACCCATCCTCCACAAGGTCACCTGAGAGTCACTGGGCTAGGGATACTGTGCCTATGCCTCCCACGGACTGATCCAATAGATGTCCTGGAAGCCTGCCTAGGATGTGTCTGGTTCCAATGTGGGATGTGCCTATGTGGTGGGTATCTCCATGTGATGTTCCTGAAGATCCGGTGTGTACCCACCTAGCCTAGGCAGTCTTCAAACTGACGGTCAGCCTCCACCTTGGACCACAGAATCACAGCTCCTCTCCAGCCTTCCTGCTCATGCTCAACTGCATTGCATTTCAGCCATCACTGTGACCTTTCCTCATCTGGAGAGAGGGGCAGTGTTCCCCCTCTTGGAGACAGGACAGTCTCCAGGAAAGTACTGGCTTGAGTCCACTAAGGATGAGCAAGGATTTGGGCTCACATCATGATCCCAGAGCTCCAGCGAACAAAGGGAGACCCAGCTTTTCCTGCCATTCCTGCCTAGGAAGAGGGGCAGGTAGTTTACTGAAATTCACAACTTGAGTGTGCAGATGCAAGAAAAGACTTCAGGCTCTGGGAATGAATTTCAACACAAAAAAACCCTAACCCCCCAAAAAACCCTATTTGTAGGAAAAAGACAAATTGGAAATGTGTTGCTGACTTCAGTATCAATAACCTAATACAGCCCATTACTGAACATGCAATGTGCTCGCTTTTCTGGGTCCTACAGTTTGATCCCACCGCTGATGGTTACAACATGCGTACGTGGAATTTGGTATCATGAGATCTGCACTAGGCGCCTGGCTTGAAGAAATCACAGCAGGGAGCATAACAACCTCAAATCGTTTTGGTGAGGTTTGTTTTTGACTGGCCTGTGAAAACATAGGGTTTGAACTTTGAAGTGTGTGCATATGGTTTACCTGTAACTTACGAAACAGAAAAATGTATTAGTACCTTCTTTATTTATTAAACAAGGAAATCCTGAAACTAATCTTTTTCTTTTTCTTGTTTTATCTTTCTAAGCTTCCTTTATTTTGATTATTTTCAAAAGTGACGTGGGATTTTGACCAACTTCATCTCTGGCAGCCCAAAATGAGGAGTCACTGACGATGTTCACAGTGAACTGAACTTATGTACTGCAGTGGCAGAGCTGCTGGTAATTGCAATTACACCTGCACATCCTGCACATTGCATCCTTAATTTTTCCTCCTCTTGCCACAGAACTAAGTAGAAAACTAGGAAACTGGAGAGTGAGATTTCTTGACGTGGTAGGGTATTGCAGCTTTCCTCAAAATATTTGTCATGAGTTCCTGCTCAGTTGCTGAGATTTTTCGACGGGGGGAAAGAAGTGGAGCTGTGAGAATCTCAGTTTCCCATAGAGGTCAAGGCTTTGTAGATTTATGTAAACCTAGTCAGAAAAAGATATTCTGATTTTCAAGGGGAAAGAATTATTTTTCAGGCCTTATTTCGTAAAACACAAAGACACCAAAAGGCACACTTGAAATGGATGTAAAAATATTTTTCTTCATGTGAAACAGCATTAAAGGCAATCCTTTGTTCTTCCCTATGCATATCAGTTTGCAAAACTACAAACTGCATCTTAGAGTACTGCATTGCACCAAGTCATAAACTTATGTTCTTAGCACTAACCTTTTACAGCCTAGGCATCCAGCTTGATATTCCAGTGTTTTGGTATTGTGGGTATTTGACATACACAGGCATCATCTTCACTGTGTTGTAACTTTTATTTGCTGCCTATCCCTTTCACAGAGACATGCTACAAATAACAACCCCCAACTCACAAACATCTGCCCCAAGAAGCAGCAGTTCCTTTTCCCATCCACAGTTCAGTTGTGTCAGTGGCAGCCATTAGAGAAACTGGAAGAAGAGAGGATCTACCTCCACCTGCCTTATCCTACACTCATGCCATCGAGGTGCCTCCATCCTCTTCCTGTGTGACCCAGCACTAAAGAAGTTTGTCAAGATCCAAATCCTATATCCATTTTCAGGGGGTTCTGTGGTGAAGCATGACAGGGTGGTATTGTGGAGGGCTGGGGTATCAGGCTGCTGGGAAAAGCAGAAGGACTCTTTCTTGAGCTTAGGATAAAATTTCCCCTCCCTAACTTGCCCAGTTTTTCCCCTCCTGACATGGAGCCCAGTGACTTAGGCCTTACAGAGAGATGTGGATTTTTTTTGCTTTTATAGCTTAAAGGATACTTTTAAAATATAAAATCATAAAATATAATTAATATATTAATAATCTGTCTGAAAATTTAAACAAGTATTTTAATTTATCCTGGAATCCAGGCAGGTATCTGGGCCTCATCCAGTGACTAACAGAACTGGAAGACCTAGAAATGCTTTAGTATTATTTCCAGTGGACTGTTTTTTAATACAAAGCCTACATTTCCACAGACATTTTCATTGACTTAGCCTAATCAGTATTTTCTGCACAATAACTGACAGTTTCACTTGATAGCAAAGTTCAAGTGAGCTGTAAAGTAGTTATTAAAGAGATTCCTTAAAAGTAAATTTTACTTAGAGAGGCATTGTGAAATTTAAAGCCAAAATGCCTACTTGGTTACTCCTGAGGCTTGTTGGACTCCATTAAACTAGAAAGAAAGTAATCCATTTTCTACGGTGGACCTTCAGGGAAGCCCTTTATGATTATAAACTGACTGTAACCCAAGCAAATCCCAGTATAATAAATGCTTCTGTCCAGAGTGCTGGTGTAAGTATAACTTAATGACATATTCACCAGGCAGAATTTCTCAGTCCTTTAAGAATGTCTTTTAGTTTGATTTTTTTGCTTTGTTGTAGATCATTCAAGAAGGTTTTGCAAGCACAACTGATACCAAGTCTGCCTTCTAGGATCCTTTGCCTCACATAAAATTGCTTTGAAGGCTCACCAGTTTTACTAATAGCCTATAAGCACTTATGTACACATTTCCCCAAAACAGATCAAATTCACCAGTCAATCTGAAAACGAACTTTGAGTTCTGTATCTTAAGAGATGAACGGTGGAAGAATGCACAAATTAGCTTTATCTGAGTATATACATATGTATGCTGTAGTAACTGGAAAATATGTTCTTTTTAATTGCTGCTGGGTTTATAAATAGTTTTTGTAGGAATCTATTTGGAGTGTCGAATGTTAATTAACTGACATTCTTCTTGCACATCACAAATTTCAAGAGAACAATTACTGTGGAAGAACAATTAAAGTTGGGTTTATTTTTTCTTTTTCTTTTTCTTTTCCTTTTTATTTTTTATTTTTTAATAAAAGAAGATTACAGAGACCTGCACAAAGTTTTAAACCACAGCTGCACTCTGGAAAATTACTATAAAATCAGCATGGTTAGGAACCGTGTTTATTGCTTCCCAGTGGGTACCATTTCCAATGCACTCAGCTTACAGTGAGAAGATGTATCTCCCATTTGTTAATGCCGTGGGTCAAATCCAGAAGTCCAACTGTGTTTTGCATGGCTCTGCAGCATGAGAAATAAGAATTGTTAAGTTATGCATTTCATTAAAGAGTCAGGTAAGCAAGCATGGGAGGAAGAACAGAGCCAGCTTCCACTGTTGAAGCATCCTTATACATGGGAATGGTACCTGCAGGAAAATACAGTGATGCTCATTTGTTAGAATAAACATTAGCTTGTTAATAATGGACAACTCAAAGAATAGACAGGCAAATATCTGTTGCCACAAGTAAAACAAATTATACAGGGGACAGTCTCTGGCCTTGAGAATCAATGGGAATTGATTTGAAGGAACTGCAATCCTGTTAAAGAACTGCAGTGGGATGATAGGTCTTTGCTTGTTAATCCAACATCACCCCCAGTTACTGCCTGTTCTGTGATTCAGAAATGATCTCAGAAACAAAATATATTTACTTCTAGGTTGTTCTGAGCATATACCAGGACTTGGGAATGACGAAGTAAGATCAGTTGAGCAGCAAGACATGACAGCTATCTTTAAAAATGTTTCTGCTTTGCACTTGATAAAATTCTTTCAGTATTTGCATCTTTAACTTGCATTTCCTTCTCTAACTATAGAGGTTATCTGAATAGCCAAGTGTTAGACAAAGGAATTTGTCAGTTTTGTACTACGACATGAGAAAAAAAGTCTGTTAAATAACCTGAGCATTGTCTTCTCTCACTGAGGTTTGCATCTGAGACTCAAGCACAGGAGGGAAATGAAAGTAAGGAAAAAGATCAGTAAATTTTGCAAACTTGTTTGAGAGAATCTTTGAAGAAAGCAGATGTGCTATGATATGCTACACTTACAGATCATGCCTTAAGATATGGATGCCTCTATAGCGATTTCATCTGAAATCAGGATACTGTTCCTGCTTCTAAACAAGCAAGAATAGATGCTAACTTCTAATACAGTTGGAATTCCTTCAGCAGTAATTTCCATGATGAGTTGAGTGACAAAATACCTGAGCACGAACAAATACATAACAAATAGCTTACCTACTCTAAAGATTCACAGCTGTTCCCTAATTATAATATTCTACCACATCATATACTGATCTTCATCTTTGCTAGTTTTTTTCCTGCTCTGCACCTTTACAAGTGCACAGCTCCCCGTGTATGCACTTCTCAGCTGTGCATGAACTAGTTGATGCGAGGACTATTCTCACTAAAGGAACATGCACCTGCAAATCCGCTATCTGCCTTTGGACGTACTGCACGAGACACTGAGAGCATGAGAAAAGGCACAAGCACTTGAACGACACCAAGCCTACAGTATTCCATATACAGAAAAGCCCATCTTCTGAGCCTATTTTAAAATGTGTTTTTTTCTCACTTTTTTTTTCTTTCTTTTGTGAAAGCCATCTGAGTTTCATCCTCTGTAATGAAAATAATAAAAGAAGTTCTTTGACCTATAATCTACTATAAAGAGCTGATTTTTACATTTAACAATCACTGGCGTAACAGCCATACAAAATCCTTGTCTCCCAGGCCTTAGTTTGAGACACTTTTATCTTATTGCTAATAAACAACTCCTGTCAATAGCAACGAAGTTATATCTAAAAAGTATCTTTCACATCTCCCTGTGTTTTCCAGTTTGCAACATATATAGAATTTTCTCAGTCAACATCTTTCCTTGAGGAGCGAGTAATTGCACCATAAATAGTATTTTGGCATTAAGGTTTGTTGGTATGTTGTGTTTTTTTTCTGCTGTTAAAAGACTCCTCTCCTCCCTTTATCCACTGAAAGAGCAGGGGCAGCCTTTCCACTGTATTTCACAAACATCTCTTAATCTTGGCTGGAGGAATCATCCCTTTGCTTTTGTGTCTTTTTGATCTCTGGCCTTTGTGCTAGAGTTCCCAGTGGAGAAGCCTCCGCAATAAAATGTGTACAAATTATTCATTGAGGTACATACACATGTACCCTCTGCAGACAGACCAGAGGGGGCTCTGACAGCACCCTGCTTCAAAACTCTGTACCAGGAGGGGGTACAACCAAGCTGTAAGCTCTTGCCAAGTCCTATGTTGCTGAAACTGTGTTCCTCCGAGTACCAGAGTTAGGTTAAATATTAAACCACTCACTCATTCCTACTGATCGTTATAAACTGTAAGTGTACTAACCTACATCCTTCCTGCTTATAAAAGGACTTAAATGCTTTGCTTTGGTACAGGCAACATTATGTGTTTTTCCTTCTGCTTAATGTGTCAAAGTAGCTATAATCCACCTGTGTGTCAAAACCAATGAATAAAAGATTTTCTCCAGTCTACCACCCAACACCATTAGTGCTATTGCTAAATGTGTTTTGTTACAGTCATTTCTCCAGGATACACTCTTCCACAACCAGCACAGTAATCTCAGAAATTAAATTGTACTGCTGCTGGGTAGAACAACTCTTTGTTGATATAGATGACCAGAAGGAAATGTGGCCAGTTCCCCACTGATGATAATGAGAGCTGTCTCAATCCCAACAATCCTCTTTTAAATACAACTCCTTGTACGTACAAAACAAATCAAATGCATGAATGATTCATAACATGAATGATGAAAGCTCAGCTAGGATGAATTTGCTAATGTTGCATTTCTTCTCAATCACTCTTTCCACTGTGGGCACCATGCTGAACACCGCTAACAACAGCTTTCTGTTTTTCCCCCCTAACTGATTAATGTTTGCTCATAGGAGCTTGATTAGTGTATTACAATTCACAAATTTACAAGATTAAAAATGTCTGTTGAATTAATTAGCTGCAAATCAACCTAAGCAAAGTTTGACAAGTTCCAAGCTGTTCCAATAAAATAAAAAAGGAGGAATCAATAGCAGCCACAAGTACATGACAATATGCTGGCACTTTGTGACTATAAATAGTGGCAGCTGCCCTCTCTGATGACAAAGGAAGATTTTTCATTGTCCATATAGTGCTGTTTAAAGGCTAAGTCCTGCCCAAATCGGTACCACAATCTCACCGATAGCTGAAGTGTTCTCAGTGAAACATCTCCTGTGGGCCAGCTCGATAACCCAGAGGGAACTGGAGCTGGAAACAAGATGCCCACTTTGTCTTCCCTTTCAGCAAGGGCAAATGCCTGCAGTGATGGAGCTGGGACTAATCATAGCACTTGTGGACACTGGCCAGCAGGAAGGTTATGTGTGTCCCAAAATGGAAATACAGGGAACAACATCAGGAGTCATTAGTGTAGTCATTAGTGACTACTTTTGAACTTTCCTTCTGCAGCTACTGACCCAGTCTCTGTGACAATTTTAGACCTATCTGTTCATAACTCTGACACTGTTGAAAAGTTACTGTAGTTTTTCAAACACTATCTTTACTGCTGAATGGTCACTCAGATCAGGAACTCAGATCAGGAACTCAGAACTTCAATGCAGCAAATGCCTTCACTGGTTAGTGATTTTTAACTCGGCTTCATGAAATGTAAAATCAATCCTTATCAAATGTTGTCTAAAAACGAGTGTGGGACACACAGATAATAACGCAGAACACATACTGAAAATAGAACAGTAATTAAAATTTCAGAAAGTTACTGTGTATGCATGGTGCATTTAAATTGACAGCGGTATTGTTTTCAAATACACGCATTAGAAATTTATCTTCAGTGCATTATCCATGAAATAGCAAATCTTTCCTTCTGAGAGCATGTATCAGGCAACTGCTTATGTGCGGGATAACAAACACTCTTCAGTGTTTTTCAGTTGAAATTCAAGTAAACCAACCTAATCATTGCAGGTTATTTCCTTCATAAAGTACTGACATTGGTAACTGATAGTGAAACAAATACAACCAACACTATATGAAACAAAGGTTTAATTGATCCTTTTGCCATTTGCCTTTTTTTTTTTTCTCTGATCAACTGTGATAAATCCTTATTTATTTTGTACAAATCTTCTCCCCCCTCTATTCTTTTACCAATGCTTAGGATGATGAAATATAGCATTAGACATATTTCCTCCACAACTTTTTATTCAAGTGCTGGCATAATACACAGCAAAGCTGTCTCCAGTAATGACTGGAATGTGTTTTGCAATATTATTCTTTCCTTTGGGCAGTCAGCTCTTGATTACCCTTCATGATGATGCTCCTGATACTTTTTTTCTAGGCTTAGAATGTAAATGAACTGTAAGATCAAATCTTAATAGAATCTCAGGGCTCACTGTCATATGTATATGCACACAGACACATGTATATGTATATATATAAAAATGCATTTGATACTGTAAATTTATTCCCAAGTATGGGATATGGTCCTGCCATTTTTATTATGAGAAAAAAACCCACTTTCACAAAGAGTATTTTTTGTAGCATGCTCCAAACTGTGGGCATTGAACTTGCTTCTTGCATTCACCATAACCTCGTCAATTTGTACACAACTGCATCTCAAATGTACCATCCAGAGAAACCATGTTTGCTCCACATGCTTCAGCCTTTTTGTAAGCCAGCATAGTCTTTTTGCTCTTTACTCAGCCCAAACTGATCTTTGTTTGTCATAAGAACTGGGGTTTTAAGGGAGGTGCATCAAAGGCTCAAGGAACAATGGATAAGCTACACAGTGTAGCTCTGGTGCACAAAGTCTGCCTGAGCTTCAGTGAGAATCCAGGTGAACGTGGCCAGAATAGCACACAGTGCATTAATAGACCTGATTCAAGGCAGTGTATAGAGATTCAGAATTTGTCACAGTGCTAACCATGTTCATATAGCTTTTGGTCAGGTTGGAAGGTGAGCAGAGTGATTTTCCATCTGCCCCAGGTGTTTACTGTAGACATTACTTGGGCTGGATGCAGGCAATGGCACTGGATGTGTGCAGCAACTTTGGTCCTCAATACTAAGGGGACCGAATGCATCAAATTACTAGAAGCATATTTACATTGCACAGAATAACCTTTAGATTTTCCATAAAGAGGAAGAACAGCCTCAGAATAAGAGGGAGGGAGTATGCCCTTCTCCTCAGTAGTGTGCAGCCCTATAACCTTCCCCTGAGAGACAGCAGCTAGAGAGATGAATTACTGCTAGCTGAAGAGAGAACTGAGCCTGGCTCTCCCCTTTGCTTATCACAAATTTACCGCTGGAAAAGCAGTCATGAGTATTTCTGTGTAAAGGTCTACCTCATAGCACCTGAGAGGACCAATTCGTTCAGCTGTGATGGGCAGAATAACTGCTCAGGGGATTCTGGCAGGCTTAGGTAGGACATAGGAGATAAGCTACTCTGTGCTGTGAAGATCGTGTTCAGGAGCCAATTTTTCAGCGCTTGAACACCTAGCACAAAATGTTCAGGAGCTCCTGGTTAGCACATTTTGGAGGATCACAGGACAAGCTGAGGCCCCTGGTGTACCTGCACTGACCTCCACATGTGAACTGCAGCATGTGAGGTATCTGGTCCCTGTGTGTCGTGGCTTTTGTCCAGCCCATGCACATGGTATTCCTATCGCTGGGGTTTTTTGATACATGAAGTGGGGAAAGGGAGTGCTGGACTATGAGCAGGCCTTCCCCTGAGTGGACTCGTAGGACCCACACAGAGCCTATGTCTTGCTTTAGCACTGTATTACCTCTCTGAAAGCTCTTCGAGACATTCAACCAGCAGCTTATTTACCTCGAGGAAATCGCTTATCTGTGAAATTATGTTTTGTGGTACCTTTTACACACAAGGTGGCTGAGTGAACACACCTCTTTCGCACTAAAATGCTTTTGTGAGGTTTAGTTCAGGGCAAGGAAAACCCCAAGCCCTATGCTTTTTGAAAGAATGTGGACTTTCCTACAGAAAACACATCTTGTGCAGAAAAGCTGCTAGAATGCCTAGGGCTACAGCATGGCCAGAAGGAAGATCCAGCATCATTTCTTCCAGAGATACCTGAAATAAGAGGTTGGAATCTACAGATATAAAAAATGCATGTATCCATAGCAGTCATATTTTCCTTTCTATGAATGTGGCATCTGGTTATATTGACAAATCTGATACATTTTGAAGTTTATCCCAACCTTTCCTAGAAATTAGATTTTTGCTTTAATTTTTTGTCTGTTTTTATTTTACAGTACCTTGAATGTAGAAGTTAAGATTTGATCTATTAGTTGGCCACTTATCTCACAACTTCTTGTAAATCTCTATTGATGTATACAGGATCAATAACTCTGTAGTAAGCTTCTCCTACCTCTCTAGCCCATGCAAATCACTCCATGAATGTGCTGAAGAGGACTTTTCTCCCTGCATCTTGTTTATCTCTCCTCTTTGCTTCAGGATTCAGAGTAGGCACATGGCTTACTAATGGGTATATAAGATCCTCTGCATAAGAATTAAATGCTAAGCATTCAGAAAAAAAACATAAGTACAGGAACCAAGCTTATGTGTTGAGAATGAGTTCCTTTTAATGAATGCACTGGTCAGCAACTGATTTTTTGTATCACTGGAAATGTCTGGTTTCAGAGACATTTTTCAAAATCTCCTTAAAAGGATCACAAAATGACAATTTGGTCAAAATGGGCGTGCATATTCTTAAATGTTTGAACTAAAAAGTAAACAAGAAGAAATGTTAGCACTAAGTTTAGAGGATGTATTTATGGTTGAGCCAAGCGATGATATTCAGGCTCTCTGGTATGAAGCACATCTCCTGCTGACTTTAGTTAGGAGCTAGGAAATGAAAACTTTCACTAGCATGGTCTGAACCCATGTGGTTATTCACTCAAGGCCAGGAGCCTGATTTTCTCATATTCATACCAGTGTAACTGTGAAGAAATCCCACCAAAGACCTGTAGTGAGGTCCCTATAGTAAAACAAATGGTCTCGGGGGACCCCTCACATGATAAAAAAAGCTTTGTGAATGATCTGTGGATCAGTGACACTATTTCCCTAATCTTGTGTGTGCAAGGCTTTATAAGGTCACGTCCATCTCTCCTGTAATGAAATCTGCTCATACCAGATCTAAGGAATCATCTCAGGAGCAGATCACTCAGTAATTTGCAGCCAAGTGAAAATGATGATGGAATTTGTTTAAAAAAAAAAAAGAAAAGAAGAAAAATAATCACTATGTGGACTGCAGAAATCTGTTGTGAGGTTTTTTAATTCAGAGACTTAAAAGAATCTGTTCTCATTTTGCATTTTATCTGTTTTATTAGAATAAAGAGGAATGGATTCAATGCCATAATGGAAAGACATAGTTCTATAGACAATCAAGGGATGATTTCATAATATGGTGCCTCTGGTATATAATTGGCTGTTTGCCACTTACTTACTCCATTTGGCTTTCTGCTCAGAGTATGGGCTTCATGAGAGCTAGTCTAATTGCTACAATTAATAAAATTAAATGGCTTATTGTGTATTTAGACAATTCTTCCCACATCCTGCATTGTTATGCTACAGAATCAGTAATTACAGTGTTGGGCTTGTAAATTCATGGACACGTGTTGTGATTATTCTTATCATGCACCTCTTGCAGGGACTCAACCTAAATAAGCTTGTTTAGATGGATGAACAAATGCAATTTACTCTGCTTCCCAGCATGCACAGGAGAAAGAGAGGCAGCAGTAGGACCCCAGCAACCTGCTGAAGTCTTTTCCTTGGCATTGGGCAGGCAGTGCAGGGGGTGCAGAGTAAATCATAGCACCTCAGCCACTCCTGACTGCATGACTTCAGGGGTAGAGCAGAGAAAGGGCAGTGGCTTTGGAAGCTGAACTGCTGGCAGAGCCAACTAAAACTCAGTACGCCACCACTTTTAAGGCTATTAAGGAGTTGTATGATCAAATCACAAACACTTCAAAATCATTTAATTTGAGTTCTGAAGAAAACTACAGGCTAGTTGTGAATATTTGATGGGCAATAGAAGGTAAATGAATATATTGTGTGATTGGCAGTCTCTTTCCAAATAAAGCAGCACTCATACTTTCAGTACCACTCATGAATGGCTCTTTTGGGGAGATGATGATACATTAGCTAGACTACCATATGCTTTAAATCAATTTGGGTTTAATAGTTATACACCACATCTTAATAATTGCAGTTCCAGTAAAATTTTAATTTACCCCCTTTGCTTAAAAGTTTACAAAATCAGGCAGCTGAGGCCTAGCATTTAATTTTGGAAGGAAAATCTTCTCCAATGTTATAGAAATTTATCAATAGAAAATTTGTTGATTTGCCAATGAAGATACTGTTTATATGCCATCAAGCCCATATAACTCAAGCACAGAAACATTGTTCTAGCACAAGAAGCATATTTAAATTGAGATAAACAAAAGTGGAAATGATTTTTCTCATTATTAAATATGCAGGAAAGAAAGTATTGCACATATTTTCAAAGAATTCATATACATTTTTAAAATTATCCTATTACAGAACAAATAACTTGTTTTAAAATAAAACAAAAGGTTTATCTTACATTTTCTTCTATGTTTTCTGAATGAACATGGATATTCATTACCTCTCCTTTATCTAATTAGAGTAGTGAATATTAGTTAAATTGTCTTTTCTGTAGCATACAAATCCAGAACTCTCAAAATTTTAGGCCCAAGTCTTTAACTAGATAAATTACCATTAAATCTGCTGGCAATTTTTTTTTGATTCATTAGAACAACGCTTTTAAAATTCTTACTTCTAACAAATAAATGTGATTGCTTTTCCTTACCAGAATATCCTTATGAACTCTTTTATTCTTGTGTATTGTGGAATGAAATTTAAAAGACCTGATTTTTTCATTTTTTTACAAGTGTTTTTTTTTTTTGCTATTGCTGTTTTTATTGAACTGTATTGATTTTAAAACTGTCTGTGGTAAAAAGAATAGTGCATATTAACTGTCCATAAGGCCATCATGGAATTTCAACGTGGACTATGTTGAATCGTGACAATATCTATAAAAAACTATTACAGCTTTTAATGTGACTATTCACAGCAATGCAAATTGAGAAACTGTCCATGCAGTCATCCAAGCGTTAGGATTTCAATGGCCAATGTTCTCAGTGCAAGTATCACTGACGTTATGAATGCAACAGAGCAAGATCTTGGAGAGCAAATTTTGACTCAGTGTAAAATGACTTCTGTTTTCCTCAAACAGCTGGATTGAATTCTGAAGACAAAGTGCGCATATGTAGTGCCACATACGGCACTGTGCACTCAGACCCTGCAGTAGTTTGCTTGACAGAAACACTTTTACAAACATTATTAAAAAGGAAATAAAAAAATAAAAGCTGCAACAAACATATCAAACCATTTCCAAAAGAAACCCTCGCATCTTGGATTACAAAATTTACCATGTGCCTTGTTTGTAAACGAAAAGAGCAATTTCCTTGTGTGAGCTAGCATTTGATTCTGGAGTGAAGGCTCTGCTGAATTTGGTGGGACAAAGGACTTGATCCCAAAATCTTTTTTTTTTAGCACTTCTTGCAGTGTTGTATTTTCTGACAAAATATGAGTGGTTTTCTCTGAATGATCAGCTCTATCTCCATGGAGGGAAGGGCAATCACGTTGTACAAAGCTTCAGGTCTGGACTATCAAAGAATTGCTTTATTTAAAAAATTATTATAGAGGCAGCTGGCCACTGCTTAATTTGAAAATACCTAAGAAACCCTTGAAGCACGGGTGTTTTCTGATCTGTGTAAAGTTCCCTCTGCCTTGCAGATTCCTGCACTTTCACAGATGTTTTGTTTTGAGGATCTTGCCCGAGCAAAGAACAACAGGTATTGAACATTTCACTAATTAAAAAAGTCAACATTAAAAATGGTTAGTTGAACACATACAAAGAAACATAGGCTGTGTAACCTCGGCCATTTTGTAGTACAAATATTAATTATAGGAAAGACTGAAATTTACCCAGCAGCATATACAGCAGTGACTATACTGGATCTATCTGACAGTGAAGATTACAATACCAATCATCAGGTCTTCTCCATCCTGACAATGCCATTTACAACAGTAACTCTTCAGTTCTGCTTCGCTCTTCTAAAACGGATGGAAATAGTTATAGCAAACTGTTTCTTATGGAATCACTTGGTGTCTTTACAAGCCACTTACAGTTGAAGCAGGATCCACGGTGTATAGAGTATTCTAAAAGTACCCATGTAGGCTTTCATATGGCATTACACTGCAAAACAAACCCATAATGTGTGAAAACCAGTTTTATATCAACCTGCAGAAGCCAGTTGATAAAATTCATGGACCAATTCTTAAAATCTAAGCTATAAAGAGAATGAAATGTATTAAAAGATTTGAGGTTTATAAAAAGTAACCTGTTGATATCATATTTTTACTTTACAAAAATACTGAAATAATTAATGAGTTTTTCACTCTGCACCAGCTTTAAAAAAAATACTATCAAATTTTGACTTGCACCTTTAATGCATTTGAAAGCACCATCGGGGATACTTTTAACATAAAGGAAGATACCACTGACTAGATTTAGGGAGGTATTTAAAACCCAAAAGCTTGCAGCAAAAGCACTCTATACAAGAGATTCAACCTAATTTTTAGACATCTGGACACAAGTCTTGAACAGGCAGAAGAGGTCTTCCACATAACTTGCTTAGATTATACTTCACTGAATATACTTACTAAGAGGTGGCTGAAAGCCTTTAAAAGACATCACTTTCACCTTGGGTGAGAAAATCAGAGCTGTCTCTACAAGTTGAGAACTTGACTGGTCTTTCCTGCTTCTTGTTCTGGTAGGGCTTGTGCCACTTGTTACCTGTCCCTCAGGCAATAGCAACTTTGCAGTTATACAATGTTTGGCACTAGAAGGGTATGGCATGTCACAGTCTCTTGTCACCCCTGCATACATTCACACACTGAATCATGCATTCTCAGTCCTGAAACAGAGAAGTTTCAGTGTGTTCATCTGTTTGTTGCTTCTTCTGATATATCTGAATGGGGTCCTCCAAAAAGTTTAGAATATGAAAACTATACTTCCCTGTTCTTTTACATATATATATATTACTTTTGTGTTTTTTTTTTTGCAAATTGAACACTGAATCATGATTATCATTTAATTTACGTCACTACGTGCTAGAGCTCATTATTTCTGCTGAAAACCAGAAGTGAGCTGCATAGGATTTCTGTTGGAAATAACATCAAGAACTTGAATTGTGTTTAAAAAGACTTTGAAATTCCACAGAAAACAAATAGTTCTGGTAGTATTAATGTTTATGACCTATTAATCAGAATTTAGTTTACTTTCCATTGACAGCCTTACAAATATGACAATGTATTTTTTAATTGAGAACTATTTGCATATCTATTCTAACCTGAATGGTTGATTTATGGGAGGGTTGAAGACTACTACGTTCCTGTTTTTTTCCCTAGAAAGCAGTTTTCATAACAGCAACACTGTGTGCTACACTTCTGTTATTTTTGAAAAAGGTTTTGTTTGTTTTTGCTGTTGATTATGCAAATGTCAATCATTCATTTCTAAAATAAAATGCACTACTGACTAAAGTTGAAAGCTCTGGTCAGAGCCTTCCTACCGGGCTGATTATAAGTACTGTGCAGTCAGAGTTTCACAGCAGCATGGAGTTGTGGGTGAGTTTCCCCAGCTGAAGTAACTGATCTGTATGTGTGGGTCAGGTTTGGGTTTTTTTGAGGCTTTCAGGTGATGCTGCTGTATCAATGTCCTGCAGACAGACTGCACACAGTGGATCAAATGATAATCATGATGATAGCCAGACTAAGAACACTACAGCTTGCTGCTCTACTTGTAGTACGCAGTTTAGTTATTCCTACGGCCCTACAGTCAACCCTTATTTTGGACTGTAACATCGTAGCTTCTTCAAGCTGTGTTTTTGTTTGCTTACAATGTGGTTTCATATTCCAAGCGCTCCTGGATAAGGGCATCATCTTTATATTGTAGCCGTGGAGGAGCAGGGGAACATTCAAATGCTAAGATTGCCTTCCTCAGGCTCCTGTCCAACACGTGTCTCTCCCACGCTGGGTACCTGTTCCTGAACAGATCGATTTTAATGACAGACTCCTCAATCCTTGGTGGCCGGGATGAAGGCGTGGAAGGTGCGGTAGGTCTCACCTGAAACACAGGCACACACCCATCCCTCTCTGCGAATTTCTGATCCCGCTCACTCGTGACACTCCGGTTGTTGGAGATGGACCGCAGAGTGTTTGTGGCCACTTCTGAGGGTAGGGTGAAGGCAGTGGCAGGGTCCTCACAAGCACAGCTTGGTGACTGCCCAAACCTTGGTCCATTGGGGTGAAAGAAGGCATAGTACATTAGCATAAAAACAATGCCTGTTAAAAAGCTGCTGAACACTACACACAGTGCTGGTATGGCAAATGCATCAGAGATTGGTGGGGCCTTGTACAGATACCAGAGAGCACTCAAGGCGGTGTTTTCTAAAAGGATCACAAAATAGTAAATGAAAAGCCTACAGCGTGTCCTTCCTTCCTTGACATTGAACCAGCTGAATATATAGATTATCCCAACAACCATGTCGAAAACTATCTCCTCCCATTTAGTGATGCAAAACTCTGTCTCGCAGTGGACGATCCAGAAGGTCATGATGCACCAGTGCAGCACAATGAAGATCCCAAAGTACAGCTGGAAAACCGAAGCAAACAGAGCAAAAGTAATGACCCTTGCTGCAATTGTGAAGAAATGCCAGCAAAACTGTATTATAACAGCCATATAACTGATGGGTTTCTTGTCATCACGGGAGTCACGGAGGGCCTTTTGGTAAGAAGCCAAAGCCCAAGCCAGGGATACAAGAGATGCTGCAGCAGTAAGACCTAGGAAGAAACAGGAGATGTAGTTAAGACATAATTAGTATATCAGCACTTGGTTGAAACCAGTGAGATCCTTGCTGCTTTAAATGTGTACTCTACTACAGACATCATACAACCTCTTCCTCCTCCTTTAGCTCAGCCAGCATGAACAAATGGACCTTTACTGCTGAGACTTCATTGCCCTGCAATGTTGGATGATCACAAACAAGAGTTTGTGGCTATTGAGCTACACTCTGAAATGCTTCCCTTGCAGTTTCATGTTTTAAACAAATTAATTCACAACTTTGAGCAAGTTGGAAAAGGTTTCTGCCAGCTGTGTGATTTAACAGGATCTACTGTGGTTATTGTCTTAAAGAAAGAATATGAATTTTCTGATTCATTTGGACAAGTCATTTAAAAAGCCTAATTAACTGTCTTACTCTTGCTGATAGAAAAAATATTGCCCATTTTGATATTTCCACCACATTTACACAGAATTTTAATAAGTTGAAAATGTCAAAACTTTGTTTCTAGAGTTGGAAACAAAATTAATTTTAGAAATGTTGGTATTTTTTACTGAGTTAAAATTCTGAGTACAGATGCTTCTGTTATGTTCGTATAACCATTCTATTTCCCATATATCATGAAATTGCCTAGTTATAAGGCCCTGAGCTATAGTATTTCTGGAAAACCTGACAAATACTTTTTACAAAAAGAATTCAATAAAAAATTATTTCTCATGAGATTTTCAAATGTTATTTTTGTGAAAATAATTCATATTCACTTGAAATCACAAAAAACACAAAACTTTTTTTAAATAAAACCCTTTACATGCTTATTTTGAATGTGTATTATTCTTTTTTCCTCAAGGGAGTTTGATTATTGCTGGTACATAAACTTAAGAAAAAAGTTGTTTTGCAACTGAATGTGATTTTTAAACTAACCTCTTACTTCCATCACTATCAGAAAGATACCTTCCGTTCCCATTTAAGAAGTGATACAGTTCAGCATTATTATTCATATGCTTAACACTTACACAGCATTCCGTTAGAAATGAATGATAATTTTTCTTTACTAGAAGATTAATTTTTCTTTACTTACAATTCATATGAAGCTGCTTTGGATAGAAATGGGAATACAACTGAAATGCAAAACCCCAGCCTTTCGAGTGTATTTATTACTTAAATACTTTTACAATAAATATGTTGTATGCAGAAGGAAAATATATCAAACATTTTATACTTAAAACTAGTTTATTACCAAAGCAAATCTTATATACAGTTAATGAATGAATTCAGAAGTCTCCCCATCCCAGACTAAGAAATTATTCACAGACCATGTAAAGATAACAATGCTCCAGCTTACTCTAAGTAGTTCCTTAACTTTTAAGTACTTATTAAAGTAAATCAAACTGAAATAAAGAATGCTTTTTATTTTCGTCTGATTCTGTCTGCTGTTAAAAGCTGTTTATTCATTTCAGCAACCTCTGGTTTTGATGCATAGACAGTATTTTTTCTCCCTGCTCAATAGTTTTCTTTAGAACTCAGTTATCAAGGGTAGATTACTTAAATATTATAAATAAATATTATAAATTGTTAATAGAGAGTGGTAAATTTAAGCCTAAATACATGTTGCTATTCACTTAACAAAAAAAAAAAAAAAAGAGAAGTTTATTTAAAACAGAAAAAAGTAGGTTATGGAAATAATACCTGATGTTGAAGGAAATAAAATAGGTTTAAGCAATCTGCCTGGCTTAACACGCTAAGATTTTGCTCAATAAGTAGGACAGAGGGATTCATTGCTTTCATGAGGGACTGTGTTCGCTAGTGTTTCTCCCTCAGTCAGTGCCAGGGTGCTAATTATGTTGTGAGCTCCCATAAATCCATGAATTGAAACCCACTTTATTTTAAAAATAAAAATAGTAATAAAAAATCAGCAGAAAAATAGTACAAACTTAAAATTCCAGGGAGATCTTTTAATAAAATGTCATAGTTTTTCTTCCTACACAGACTCCTGGATGCCAGATCACCAACATTACTTCTGGAATGCTCCTTTATGGAGAGAATAAACTATCAGCAATAAAGGCAGGAAGGAAACAAGGCATACATTGTTATTTTCATTTCTGACATGTATATTTGCTTTTCACATTTGGCTGCCTTTCAGTGACCATTATCTCTGGAGACAACACTAATGTCTGAAAATGGAAGTTCTCATTTTCCTGTAGGAATGTTTTAAGTATTGAACAAACACAGTTAATTTCCTTTATGAAATGAAAAGTTTGGAAAGGTACATGAATAGGATAAAGGATAAGAGAATCTTTTAATAAAAATGAGCCACTCTGAAGAACAGCTCAAAAATAGCATTATCTGCACAGGAAAGAATAACGTGAGAGAGAAATCCACATATTTTCTTTTCAAATCTAACAGTAATGACCTCATACACTTCCCCAGAGGTTTGTAGAGACACAATCGGTTTTGCATTAGGAGGTGTAAAATCATTCATTAATGCACACAGAAAGTTCCAAATAAAATGTTAAAATTCATAAGAATTTCCAGTCTTCTAATGGTAATTAATTCAGAGTCATTGTCTGGGACAGGAAAAAAGCAAGTACAACAGCAACATAATTCTGTTATTTAAATAGTCATTAATAGAGAAACATCCTTTGCTTTTACAGAACAACTCAGGGATATTGGCATACAAGAGAGAAAAGGAGACAAGAGAATGTATAAAAGGAGAGAACTGCCAGTTATTTTGTGTCTACTCTTGTGCTATTGGCAATGATGTTAGGGATATAGAATTAAGATAAGGCTAAACGCTTCATAGGCACCATCCATTTTTCTTTATTGATTAGACCCAGCACTAAAGAATTATTGAAAGTATAATTCCTAATGAGAACAATAATGTAAAGTTGATGCAATTGGCAGCTTGCTAATAAATGTCACTATATAAATGACTGGGAATGGTTAGAGATAAGGTGAATTATTGTAGCACTGAATGGATAATTCATTAATCAGAACACACTGATGCATTTACTCAGTATGTGCTCATATAAACCTCTTTATCCCTATTTAAGAAGAACTAAAATAAATTTCTATTACTATCAATCCAAATCTTTAAAGGCGGTAACACAGCACCAGGAAAGGAGGATGTCCTGTAGACCTAACGGAAAATAAATTACTTGTAACAAAGCAGAAGGTTTAATTTCATAAATTGGGAAGTCTTATTTACCATTCAGAAATGAACAGGGAAGATGGGACTGTGATCTGTTCACGAAGAACAAGAACCAGATTTCCTGCTTGTTCAGCTGCAGCCTCCACACTCTCTCCTGGTGCTGCAGCAGCTTTCTGGTCTGTATTTGAAAGTCTTGCATATCAGGGGCTTGTATTTAGGATCTTGATCTAGGAAATTAGGATTAACTAGCATTCTCAGCTAATACATACTCAAGAAACTGTATGTTCATCTGTTACAGACTGTTAAAAGTCCAGGAGAGCAGAAATTCTGTAAAATGGCCTTAGCAAACAGGAAAGCATGCTCCTGTTTCTTTCTTTTCTAAAGCTGAACCTTCCATTTATTTTTTTTTCTGCAGTGAAAATGATTTAGTCTCTGCAGCTCTGTCCTTAAGAGGAAAGAAATACAGGCTTTGCACAGGAAAATATCATTTCTTATATTGCAACAGACAAATAATGCTTTTGTTTGTTTCTAAAATGGACACCTGAAAAGCTCTTAAATAGGAATTAGTGGGGAGTATACCTACTCACTTCTAGCCTTTGTAGCATAGCTCACCGACAACAGTCTCAATAATGAGACTAGCTAATAATGCACTGTATCAGGACAACTTCCTCTCAGAAATGAATTAGAATATATTTTGAGAGAAAAAGACAATGATCAAAAAGATCTTTTTGCCCTTGATCAATTGCTGTTTTATTCTCTTAATGGTTTCAGTACTTAATTATATTATTTGTATAAAAGAGTGACAACTTTGTATCTACAGACAAGTTTCAGATGCCCTCAAGGAAGTGCACATCCTCTCTGAAAACAAAGAACAGAATAGCCTTGATTAAATTACAGTTTTAACTTCTTTCCTTGGAAACGATCCATTTATCTATATATAAAAGATGTTCTTGCATTTTATAGAGGTTCTCCCAATTTATTTAACTTTGAGGAAAGCAATTCAATGTGTAAGCAGCACATGTGATTTACTAGTTTGCATTTTTCTCCCACTTCCACAATATAATCTTTAGACTGAGATGTAACTAAAAAAAATATGGGTCTCATTGTCACACTAATTTTATCTTACTCCTGATTTGTACTTGAGAGACTAAAGACATATTCAGGTCCATAAACTACTTCTTTTCTAATCACATAGAGTAAGCACAATACATCTCAGATCAGCTGGGAATCCCAGATGCTTTTCTGAACCAAGGATCTCTAACATTTATAGTTACCTTCAAGGTCTTAATCCTGTAGGAAACAGTATATCATGACTGTGCCTCTCCAGCTTCAGAAAATGTCTTGCTCTATTTACACAGCTTTGCCATGCTGCTCTGCAAGTATAGCCACAAACCTGACATTCATATGGAGGCCTTCCATGCAACTTGACAACAGACTGTGAGTTTCTTGACTAATTTTTTGTTATCATATGCTAGTATGGCACTGTATGACACGGTATACATACTGTGCTTCAACACATGGTTTAGTACATAGGATGCTTTACGTGCTTCAGGAGCAGCTTTGATCATACCAGGGACTACGTTTCCAGGTTCTCAGTATGCATTTTGTGTGCATGGATGTCATTCTCTGACCAATATTGTGAGATGAAAGCTAAAGATGAAGCTTACTTTTTTATGTTTTCCTGTTATCTGAAGGGATAACAATATAAACTCTTGCCCTCACCTGGGTTATTTCTCCATAAACATGGTGCAAAGAGAATTCTATTACTTTCCCACATCAGCAAGCTTGTCTTTTATTAGCGGTCCTAAATCACAGTCAGAGATTTACTTTTTGAAATTGAAACAAGCTGCTTA